AAGACAGCAGCAGTCCAAAGAGAGTGATTTGCACCACACTTCTCTCCATTATGCCTCCTACCAGAGTGCAACCAAGGCAGCTGAAACTGCCTTTTAAACTCAAACAAGGACAGCACTGCTGTGTAAATATTTTTAATATTTAAAGAGCAAACTCTACTTTCTGTCCTCTTTTGCCAGCAATAACAAACACCCCCACACACAAAACACTCCTCCAACAAAGTGATTTTCCTGCAGTTTTGTGAGCTTTAATGTTGACAAATCGGTGCACTTTACCAGGACTTTGTTACCACAACAATCTTTTCATTTGTGGTAAGCCACAGTGTTCTGATAAAGATACATGAAGACAATCTGACTTTTAATTATTGGTGAAACTGAAAGAATGCATTAAATTACATTTTCGATAAGACAAATCAGTGTTGTGCAACATAAAAATCAGTCAGTGGTCTCTGAAGGGCAGATTCAGCAGACATAAGCAAGCAGGTCATTGTGAGAGGAGAGACAAGGGTATAGTCAACAGTGTTGTCACTGCAAAAGAGACACCAAAATAGTTAATACATCTTTGTGTTTAGGAGTAATCTTAGAAATCGAAGATTTTTCATGTAAAACAAATGGGGGCCTAGCAAAAAAAGTTTGGGAACCACTGCGTTAGATTACTAATTACTGAAAAAAGTAATGGCTTTCCCATCACTGGATATGGGGTTGTGACGTTCGGTGAGCCCCTGCCATTTTCATTCCTAAATAAATAGATTATTTTAACTCCTTACAAATAATCACAGTGCACCTCATCTGAACCTTTTCCTAGGTTTATACCTAGTTGAGAATTGATACTTAGTAACATCTCAATAACATCTCATTTACATTAAATTGTAAAGATAAAACCCCAGATAAGGTAGATCAAATTAGTGCTCTGCGGATGGATGTTCCAGAATAATTTTTTGTCTAGTTTCAGACATGTCAGCTAAGTTGGTGCTGACAGTAGACTATTGATCTTGGCATGTAACTCTTAGTGACAGAACATTATAAGGTCACACATCTGTACTTATGCTAAGAGCATGAGTCTTGGTCATTATATTGCAAAATTACCTTCCTGCTGTGGTAATTAGTGATGGTAAATTCGATTCTTTTTACTGAATTGAGTTTGAATGAGTCACTCATCAAAATGAATCGGCTTTTTTGAGTCCTTTGAATCACTGAGTCAGTTGCCCACAGAGTGCAAAAAAATGTACATGTTCAATCAAACTTAAGGTCAGGAATAAGGTTATGGTTAGGGCTAGGGATAAGGTTAGGTTTAGGGCTGGAATACAGGGCTAGAACGTCTATTACGAGTGTCATTGCACTGGATTTCAGCCATAACCCGCCGCGTACCATAAGAACGCCGAAGGTCTCCTTTCGCGTTCCTCAGGAACGCCGCGGGACGTGACAAAACGTCGGCATGTTACGCCTTGGGAGTGAGAACGGGCTGTGGTGGCATAACAACTGGTCACTGTGGAGTTTATGTGAAAACTGTAGATGTCCCAGTCATCCTGAGCAAACACAAGAGTCACATTTTTTTTTTAAATGGCTTGGCTGATCTTATTGGTTGACCAAAGGTCAGATGTACTTGAAAAAGAATTTGTTGGTGGATGACATCAGTGAACTCTAATTGGTTTAACTGCAGCAACACCCCATTCTTTTTATTTTTCATCTAGTTTTAACAACACACAAACAAATAATGTAGCACACCATTACATTATCCCTAAAGAGCTGGTTTCTCAGACCGACTGTCACGGACCCGGCTCTGGGGACTCGGGGTCTGTGGGCAGTGGGGACTATGTCTGTTGTTATTATTATTATTGTCATTATTATTATCATTTGGTGTGTCGTCTGCACTGCCTCCCTCATCCGTATGTAGGCAGGTGTGTGTGTGTGTGTGTGTGTGTGTGTTGCTGTTTTCTGTGGCCATGTTACAAGCACCTTCAGGCCTGAGGGGCGTGGCCTGGCTTGAGGTCTGGCCACACCTAAAGTCCTTGCCACACACCTGCTCCTCATCTGGGCTCGTCGGGGGAGCTATTTAGAAGAGCGATGGAGCTTCCACCAACGCTGGATTATTGCATTTGACTTCACGTCAGTCTTCTAGCATAGTCAAAAAGTGTGAGTGTATGCCTGCTGGGATAAAGTATGTAACGGCTGCCTCTATTGTTTTCCCACAGGAGGAATGTGGGACGAGAAGGAGCAGTGAGCACGGGGAGTGCAGGGACACTGGAGCAGAGAGCACTACACTGGGACTTTTCTGGGAAGAAGACACAACACGGGAGTCTGGGAAACTGGGGGATTTATTGTTGCTTACTTCACCACTCTGTAAATAAACACTGTTGCACTGAAGAGTCCGGCGTTTGGGTCCTGTTTCCCCACCTCCCCACGGTCTGCCAGCCAGACCGTGACACCGACTGGGAAACAGAAGTTTCAGAGAAAGTCAGAATAATATTACAATATTAAAGGTTAAAAAAAGAATAGACAAGGAAAATTTACTTAATGGGACTTGGCATTTTTAACCTTAACTTAGAACTTACAAATACCATTATCAAATACCAAGCTTTTACTATTAAAGTTTGCTCAAATTTCCATTTGACTTTGACCCAGAGCAAGAATAAAGTAAATATGCAAACAGACATTGAATTCCTTCAATGCACATGACATTATGTGATCTTACTGTATATTAGCTAGCTAAAGACTTTACCTTTACTTTAGATTTTGGATCCTTGAAGTGGTTCTGTGGCCCTTTTTAAGTATTATGATCTTACCTTGTTTGGCAGTGTGGAGGCCAAAGACAGCAGCAGTCCAAAGAGAGTGATTTGCACCACACTTCTCTCCATTATGCCTCCTACCAGAGTGCAACCAAGGCAGCTGAAACTGCCTTTTAAACTCAAACAAGGACAGCACTGCTGTGTAAATATTTTTTTTATTATTATTATTATTTAAAGAGCAAACTCTACATTCTGTCCTCTTTTGCCAGCAATAACAAACACCCCCACACACAAAACACTCCTTCGACACAAAATTTTTCCTGCAGTTTTGTGAGCTTTAATGTTGACATTGCAGGTCAAACCTGTGTATTTACCAGGACTTTGTTACCACAACAATCTTTTCATTTGTGATAAGCCACAGTGTTCTGATAAAGATACATGAAGACAATTTGACTTTTTAATTATTGGTAAAACTAATAGAATGCATGAAATTATATTTTCCATCATACAAATCAAAGTTGTGCAACATAAAAATCGGTCAGTGGTCTCTGCAGGGCAGATTCAGCAGACATAAGCCAGCAGGTCATTGTGAGAGGAGAGACAAAGCTATAGTCAACAATGCTGTCACTGCAAAAGAGACCAAAAAAGTTAATATATCTTTGTGTTTAGGACTAATTATGGAAATCTTAAACAAATTAGCTTTTTATATGATGAAAATGAAGACATAAATATGAAATATTTACCTTGTAACATCTATCTCCTGGTTTTTAATTGTTAGCTTTGTGACAGGAACTTGATGTCCTTCCTCGTAAACTACTGGCTCTAGAACTGGAAAAAGAGAGTGAAAGATCAAAACATGAACTGACCAGTAAGGTGGTACTTTTAGAGAAAACACTATAACCGGGTGAAAACTTTGATTATATCCTTAACCTGATATGAGCAATGCAGCATGTATTTCCCAAGTAATGCATACAGCATTGAGGTAAAAAATATCAGCCTTTTCACTCACCTAAAAGTCCTTGCGTGTTGTTGGCCGAGGGATGCTGTCTTAAAACTGGCCAAAGGAATTTCTGACCATTTTCCTCATGAACTAAGATGACCAGGCGCATATCTCCAGCTCCAATGTCTATTTCCTTGTTGCGCACAATCACTGTTACACTGGGGGGAAAAAACTGACTCAATGGCAACTTTTCAAAGATAGAACCAGACCATCAGACTGCAACTCTATTGAACAAATATTGATTTTTTTTTCCCATCCTGGAAGATGCAACAAATCGAAGGAGAACGTGAGAAAGACGTGTCTATCACTGAAAATATTTTAGTCCACTTTTGTGAATGTAAAATGCATTTTTGATGTATTTTGTGTAATCACATGAAAAAAGCTATTCACATATTTATAGCACCATGTTTATATAAAATGTTCCTTATTAAATGCCTTTGATGTGGGGTTGTGACATTTGGTGAGCTCCTGCCATTTTAATTCCTAATTGAATAGATTATTCTTTTTCCTTCCAAATAATCAAAGTGCTCCTCATCTGAACCTTTTCCTAGGGTCATACCTAGTTGAGAATTGACACTTAATAACATCTCAATAACATCTCATTTATATGTAAGTGTAAAGATAAAATAGATCAAGTTAGTTCTCTGCAGAAGGATATTCCAGAACAATTTATAATCTAGTTTCATACAGACAATACTGCACAATTACCTTCCTGCGGTGGTAATATTCTGCCCAGTGTGATGTGTCACTGTCTGTCCATCTCGTACAGCGACCTCTTTGGTGTCAATCTCAATATGCTGGTCACTTTTGAAATGTATTACAATTCTGTTGAAGCCTCCGTTTGTAACTGAATCAAGCTCACCATTCACGAAAAGCTCTGGAACAAAAGAGCAAAGAAACTAAAAATCAACCTACAAACAAAATGGTCACTAACTAAAAGCTAACAATACAGACCTCCACTGGGATGATGAAGAAGTTTAAGGAGGACAGCTCCTCTCACATCAAAGCACACTGGAATAGTTTGTTTCTCAGCTTTCAACAAAAACCTGTGGAGAAGAGGAGCTAGAAACACACAGAGTTAGTATATGAAAAATATTTCACATATTTTATCGACTTCAATGTGCAATAGAATACCATCAGTTGTTTTCACAGGAACAGATGCTGTAGGTAGGAAGAATACAGTATCCTCATAATCTGTAAATACATTTGCATAATGGTAGTTACTTCAATCCTCGCCACTCCATCTCAGGCTTATTAATTGTCTATAAAATTTTTAATTGTACTCTTCTGAGCACAATTACCCTCATTTGGAGACTTCTCACATGAAAACCACAAACATATATGTGTCAAAATAGTAATAATAATGTGTCACAAATAATAATAATAATAATAATAATGATGATGATGTATCCCAATAATATAATAAAGCTGTATAACTAAATATAATAATATAATATAACTAAATCTGTTCTTACTCCAGGTTGTACAAGGCTTGAGTGTCTCCCCACACTGAGTCTCCCTGCGCAAAAAACGTCCCTCTTAAGTCCTGCTGCATTGACAAAGCAATATATAAACGCTCATAAAATGAAATGACTCACACCATCTCTCCATTATCATCACAACATAATGTTATTACTTTCAGTCAGTTTACCACAATACCACTGAACTGAAGTCTTGCGGGTCATAATGCACCCACATTATAGCTGTCACGTTACTGGGTCGTATACCCAGTATTTGTGTTTCAGCTTCTGGAATTATATTCTTTGATTATTGCTGTTCATGTTTTTGGGTTTCTTTAGTTCTTAGTGATCTTAATCTCTATATCTTAGTGTTTATCTCAGCATGTGTTTAGTCTCTGTTCTCATGTTTTCCCTGTGCTTTTTCCCTGTGTCTCACATCTAGTGCTTTTGTATTTCCTCTGTTCCAGAGTCTGTCATGTTTCATCACATAGTCTGCGTCTACGTGATGTCATGCTTCCTGTTTTATTTTGATAGTCTTTGTCTAATGTCGGTGTATTTTGCAAGCATTAGGCTTGCAAGATAATTCCTTTTGAGCTGACAATCCCGTGGGAGGCAGGCTTTGAGGGTGCCGAAGAGAAGAACCTATTTGAGTACTCTGACCTGGCGGCTAAGTATAGGGAAGCTGGCTGTAATGCCTTAGTAT